CAGAACTTCGCCATAACCTTGACGTAATTGTTCGCGAAAATTTTATTGAGTTCAGAAATTTTCTTTTGTTGCTTTGCAGTCTGCAATAAACTGGTTTAGAGGCGAGGTGTTCAAAGGAGGTAGTTGAGTCTTAATTATTTTAATTTGGAGTGAACATTATTATTGCCTCATTTTAATTATTGTCCATTCTCTGGAGTTTTAAGTATTATGATATCCTGTAGTATTTGGTAAGTAAGATTTAACTCTATTTTTCCTTCTCTCTGAGATCACCTAGACTTCTCTCTTGCAATGACAGGTTGTATTGGCATTGGTTTTTGACATTCATATCGTATTGACATTAACAACGGTATTTAGAAACTAACACATTCAATTATCGAGGATATATACACATCAAGCTACTCACCGCTATGAACTATCTGAAAACGTCGACAGCAGCTCCGAGAATCGAACGCAGATCCTCCGCGTCGTAGCCCACGCCTGTACCACCTTGGCCACGCGAACACCTTACCAGCCTATAGGCTCTATGAACTACTTAACTATAATACGGATGCCACATTACGTTTACGGCATAACGTTCAATTATCCTTCGTTGAACTTGATAGATATTATTCATAATGCACTAATTTCAAGAAATGAACAAAGTAGCCATTCGTATGATCCCGTCAGTTAGATAAAAGTAAATATTAGAGCTAAATTTGTTAAGTAAATTATCCTATTGCATTAGCTTCATGTCATTCGATAGTTTGATCGATAGTTTGATTTGAACAACGCACTCAAATCATTAGTCTGCTGAAATAGCAAGTTCTCTAATAGTTTTAATGCAAAGAAAGCGCCAAATAAATTCACCATATCTTCGATGAAAACGTTTCGGAGACCAGCACCGAAAAGCAGGGAAATTCGATCAATTTATAAACTGATGATGGTGCTGGCTTGCACATTTTCATTGAAAAAATGGTGAATTTCCTTGGTATTTTCTTTGCTCTAACATTTACTGTTATAAACGCGTTTTCTGTAAATCCAAGTTAGAAAACTTTCTCATGATAAACTGATTGATATCTCGCTTTGGCAACGCGTGAATGACCGTAAATGTTTCTGTATGCGTGTTAAAACTGGAAGAGCATATAAAATTCTTACGTATATCAAAGTATTATAATACTGAAGAGAAATAAATATCATAACTGGCACCAGAAATTTACCCAAAATAACGTACTATGCGAATGAACTAAATGAAGGATGAAGTTCATTCTCCCGCCACTAGCAGTTTCCAGCCCCTACCACTCCTCCCTCTCTCAATGCCCCCCCATGCACGGCCTGCTTAGCTGCTCTGTACAGCTCCCTGCCGGGCAATCCTAGTACCAGCGCTGCAACGGCGCCGAGTTCCGGCCCTGCGGAGCTGCTAGAATTTTGTCTCTATATTGGCCATGGCGCAGCGCCGTTTTATGGATAGATGGCCGGTTATAGTTTCACGGCTCCATCCTGCTAAAGCACGACCAGCCCGGCTAAACCCGGAGCCGGTCTCGGCTCAAAATTTTAACTGGGTTATTGTCGGCATTCGTTGTTTGCTGCTTTTGAAATAAAATATAATAACTATAACAGTTCAATTGAAAATTTGATAACAATTTATTAAATTTGTTCCGTAATTAATATTGACATTAATGCCTTTCCTATTTCGGTGGCAGAGCAGATGACAACATGTCGTTCAAGAGCAGCTCTTCTAACAAAAAGAAGAACAAGAAAATTTTGACAAATAACTTAGTCCAGTTTCAAGCCCCATCAAGAAGAGACAACGTAGCAATTTATGATAAGCTCTAGACTCTAGAACGACCGAAGTCGCATAGGCCTGTACAACTACGTCATTGGACGCATCAAATTTCTTGAATCCTCTGCCAAAGAACGGAGAGAGAGAATCTGTTTAGTTTCGGAGGAGCTGAGGGCTTAAATAACTATGGAGCAAAATAAAATTTTGCACTTTCCTCATGTATCTTATCAGGCTGTTTGCGCAAAACTAGCATAACTTCTAGAAAACTATGAGCGCTGCTGAAAAAACCTTTGATTTATTGAATGTACTGTTTGATATAACCAAAGTGAAAGGCGAATTGTTGTGCAAAGAGGATAAGGACATACAAACTGCAAATTGAGAGCGGAGGTCACGTTGGCTATTCAACTAGCAAATCGCTAGTGCCAATACTGAAACGACAGTTTCAGCAAACTGGCAGTAAGTTACGAAATTAGGCGCGTGAACCAAAAATGAGAGGGCAGAGTATAAATGCCCAATCACGACAATCATATTAGATGTTCGCAAATTTCGCAGTATTTACCTATAAATACAAATTCAACCACTATCACACGCAAGAACTCACCCTGATGTTTGGGTTGAAATCCCAAAAGAGGTGATCCACTACACCGGTCGGGATCAGCAGCTTAACTGATCTTTAAAAAAATATAACACTCACGTCAGCACTGATCACATTTTATCTTAGCGGTCTTATAGCCAGTAGTAGGGAATTTGTAAACTACTAGGTATATTACAGACGAGCTCTCACATCCGATCTGCTTCAATGCATCTTTCGTTTGGCGAATACTGATACTGGGGTTTGGAAACCACAAAGAAGTTCCGTATCAGGTCTCAATTTGTTTTAAATTTTTTAATAATTTCAAGAAAATATTATATACGATAGAGGCAAAACATCGTAACAATTATTGTCAGCTCGATAAGTTGGACTTCAGTGCGAAGTTCTACAAGTAAAATGAAGTGGATAGCATGGCACCATAAGATTGCCGAAGCCATTCCGATTCATTTCGTTGTATTAAAAACCAATTTTCTGAACAATTAGTGTGTTCTTCTAGGCCACAAAACCGATATTATAGACTTTACATTAAATCGTTTTTTATTATTATGGAAAAACGCAATGTTGGAGCAACTCGGCCAGTCATAATTTTTTTGATAGAACGAATTTGCTAGACATTTGGAACTTAAGTAGGTATTACTCATGCGCTGAATATACTCATTCGGAATATAAGTAGGTATTATTAATACGCTGTGGTAAAATTATTATCGATTTTTCAATACTTCATTTTCAATTAAAGCGAATAAACACATTTTCGTTTTATTTGCATATCTAATATCTATACTAGTGAAAGTCGTAATCAATCCAACGAAGGTAGGTCAAAACAGTTTTAAAATGTTAAGTACCCTTCGTTGGATTGATTACGACTACTGCTGGCATAGGATATGAGAAAGACTGACAGCCGCCACAGCTCTGAGGGTATAATTGATCTTATGTAAATTTAATAATAATACCAATCACGGCCTCCGGGCAATTAGGAAGTATCGGTCATGCAAGGCCTATTTAACAACATAAACAACTTTTAAGGAACAATCGCAGGTCGTGACTATGCAAACACACATAACTAAAGATGCTTATACACGAGGCGAATAGTTGCGTCGACTAGTCGACGCAACTAAAATTTGTGATGATTGACGTCTTCAGAGGCGACTAGCTGCTGCATTGCACATGGAGTAGCTCAAGTTGTTTCAAGACAGTCTAGTGTGCCCACTGCCCAGTAGCGGATCGGCCTTCGTACTGAGCATATCTGAGTCGCTGTCTTTTCTATACTGTATTGCGCACAGCTGTGGAGCTCTCGCTTGCCTCCACCATGCACACACCTTACTCGACAACTCCCAACGTCGCACTGGCGCACTGCACTGAAAACACTCTCCTTGTGTATAGGCTCTCATCGGGCAAAACTGTAATCGACGCTACTAATCGCACCGTGTATAAGCACCTTAACAGTCTATAACCTACCCAATGTGTGAACAACATGCGCTTCTTCGAAATTATTGCGTCCATGTTCAAGTTACTCACCTCAATTGGAAATATTAGAAATTTATTTAATTTTGACAATTATTGAACTAGCTTATTTACAGCAAATACTTATATTCCAAATGGCTAGCAGATCCGTTAAGTATTGGAGGAGCTGTGGCTGGATGGGTTGCTTAAAAAATGCGTTTATTAGTTTTAATTGAAAACGAAGTAATGGAAAATCTGTAATAATTCCTACCGCAGCGTATTGGTAATACCTTTTCATATTTCAAATTTCAAGGAAATTCGTTCAGTATTAAAAAAAATTATGACAGGGCGAGTTGCTTAAATATTACGTTTCTCCGTATTAATAAAAACAAATTGATGTAAAAATCTGGAATAATTCCTATCGCAGCGCATTGGTAATACCTACTTATGTTCCAAATCTGAATAAAGTCCGTTCAGTATTGAAGGAGTTATGACTGGGCGAGTTGAACGCTTAGTTAGGTTTTGCGTTCGAGCTCGCAGGCGAGTTCGTAAAAGTGTCAAATAGGTGCCACAAAATTGAAAAATAGTCAAATTATGCCAGAATTTTTTGTGTTTTAATTGTGTTTCCAACTAATTTGCAGCTAATCTTACAAAACATGATCTTCGTTGAAGTTGTGTTGGATCACTGCTCTATTCTAAATTATGAAATTTCAACATGATTGGATTGAGCGATTTTATTAGGTTAGATGGGAAGTATGAGGATGAGGTATTTCTCACTTCAAGATGGACTAAATTCCATTCTACCAAAGCTTGATCTAGTTGCACTAACATACATTCGGAGTTTTTCATTTCAAATCCGATTTTTTATTCACAATATAAGAATCAATAACCTTTCAAAAAATTTACAAACATTCGCTCTGAATCATAAATTGCTTGACTGAAAATCCACTTTGTCCGCGAACGTCTTTTCTCGGGAGTATGTAACAGATTATTCGGTTTAATAGACAGGGCTTTTACATTTATGATGGCGCATTATTGTAAAGACTAATGTTCGGTATTAATTTATGAGCGATTCCTATGAAGAGGTAGGCAGATTATTCGTGGCCCAGAAAATTCGTGGTATTTATTGAGAACGAAGTCAGCTGTCACAGCCATCTTTATTGCAACGCTAAAATTTTGATTATTCACGTCGGTATTACTATATTGTGTTCAATTTCTGAGAAGAGGATGATTCTTGATGATTAATGGGCAGACTTGTTGTGCGATCTTGAGGAGAAGGCTACTCTTTCTTGGATTTCTTTCTTTCGTCAATTTGTTGCAAAAATGCACGCCGTAGCTGTCCGGAAAGATCTGTGAATAAAAATTTTCTAAAAATTTAAACGTACATGGATTTGACATGTTAATGCGAGTACATAACTTTCATATATCATAATTTTTCAACTTTGGAAAATATTTAAAACCTTGCATATTTTAACATATTTTAGCAATGATTTAGTTAATACATTTTTTTCTGAAATTTTGAAAATTTTTCGTTATTGTACACATCAAGAATGTATCTAAGATGATAAAAATAGCAGACGTCTTGGACTTCCTGAGAGGCCTAACTAGTGCTTTTTGGACAGACCCCAGCACCCGAATCATGGAAGTTTCACAAAGTTTTGCTCATGAGTCTATTAATAAATAGGCGATATAAAAATAGATATAGTGTAAACAGAAGGCGTGGAGGTCTGGAAAAACCGTTGGATCCTGAATCAAATCGTTGCAGAGCACCGTAAAACAATAGATTATGATGTCAGTGCAAAATCAGTGCTTTCAACGTACATACAAAAAAACGAATATTCTTCAGGACTGCAAATATTTTAAATTCCAGTGTAAGAACTACAATTAAGAAACACATGTAGTAATCGCAGAATAACTGATATGATGTATTCCCAATGCGAAGGAGGTTTGTAAAATTAAAAATTGTTCATCCAAGAAGCGAGAAAGCCTATTTTCTCCCGACTTACTTCAGCCGAAATAAGCGTGCATTCCCGACTGTATTACGCCTTCGAGGTTGTAAGAAGGCCGGAAAAATGGGCTGAAATATATGCTAAGCAGTTCTCGGCTCGAATGTATTTCCAAAAAAGTAATTTGAGTCCGAATTTGCGGCAAAATTTTAGCAGCCAATATAGTGAGATATAATTTGTTCTAATTATCTAAGTGGTCCCACTATTTTTTAAAGCCTTTTGAGTTACGATCTACTTTATACTACTATCAGGTTAGTCTGTTAGAAAAAGTATTAGTTAAAGTTAGTCCAATTCAGGTAATAATATTAAAGTTAATGCATTCCAACTTAATAAAAACCCCTGCAAATCCATATTTAACAGTGAAGATAGGACTCTCATTTTACTCTCAATTCAATGTATGGAAAAACAAATTTGTTCTTCAAGTTAAATGTACTCATATAAAGCATAACTAAAATTTAAATTTACAGTCTAACACTTTCTTCAATTTTCTCCAATGTAATCAAATTCTCCCACTGAGAAACAATTTCAGGTCCAAGTATTATCCCGACACAATAAGAGGGAGATTTCATTAGTTAACATTTGTAAAGTTTGTAAGATCTATTTCGGGTGAGATATTTTGGTTATCCAATAATTTCTTTGTGAACTCTAAATTTTCGTTTTCAGTTCGTTTTCGTACCTAGTCTACCGCCAGTAGCTCTTCTTGTTGTGATAAAGAATTTATTTTTCACGATGGCAAAATTTGACTTTGAAAGTGACGATAATAAATTTGATGATCAATTTTCGCTGTACTTGAAAATCTGAGTGAATAAAAGAAATAATTAGTGTAAATCAGTTTTACATTCTTGACGACTGACTAATTATTATATTGAGGTCTTTTGGCGTCAGCTCAAGCGAAAAATTGCACTGCTTGCAAACACCAGGAGAGCGAACTGAAGTCTGGTAGATCCTGCAGAGCGCCAAAGACAGAACAATAAGTATCCTGGACACTCGGCTACGTGCCATAACAGCCCCTGTATATATTTGTGGTGCAAGGCTTCAAACACATACACATACAAAATAATTGAAAAATATGTTTAAGATTAGTTGAAATTGGTAATTGGACAGAACTAAAATATAGGTGGGACATTAGTTCAATTGTTCAACATCAGGCAAACTTACTTCGTGTATAGTTTTGTTGTTAGATTCTACTGGGGCCAGGAATAGAGTTGGCAGAGCGTGAGCCCAATATACTGGATAGAAGTAAGACGTTTTTAAGGCCAGCCAATCACAGAGCTCAGGTTGTTCATCTGATGTGAAGAAATAAAAATCTGAAATCTGAGGTATGAAACCAGACAATTAAATCGTTAGTTTACAAAAATCTGATGAAATTATCTGATCTGATGAAAGAAATCAGATGACATAAAATGATGAAATTATTGTAATTCTCGTGAAATATTTTTGTAAACCTGGGTACTTGGATATAGTATCCGTCTTGCATGTAATATTATTCACCTAATTACTCCTGACTCCCTGTACGGAGAATAATTATAGATTTCTAATTCATATTGAAACTAGAGTAATTTCGAAATTTTATTTCATATAATTTGGTTACCAAACAAAAAACTGACCATGTTCATTTATAATCTTCAACGAAGTTTCCGATGAAAAAGGGCGTGGTTCATCTGAAACAGGTTGACCCATCGCGTTGCGCGGGGTGGCGTCACAACCCGAACGCTCCACCGCTTTCGTTATGGCGATCGGACCGTTCCAGGAGTATATTATCCCCTTGAATAGAAGAAATATTAACGAAGAAGTGAAGATTGTATGTTCAAATGTAGAATATTATATACATGAATGATAAACAACTTTAAAAACTTCAATTGGTACCACCAAATTCTAAACACTGCAACTTTATTGGAATTTGGTGTACGAGGGCATAGTATTACCGAATATTCCCTAGTACATCAATGGTATTTCTTGGATCATTGTGAATGGTAAGTTATTAGCGAGAGAAACTATTTACCATAAGGCTCAGAAATTACACCTGGAAGGAGTTAAATTGATAGCCGCTTCAAATACTATTTTGTTCATGACTAAAGTAGGTAGCTAGCAATCATGTGAAGAATTCCAATACAGAGAAGATTAATCAATTCATTTTGAAGACGTTTCCACGCAGTTTACAGCAATTAAAGAGCGCGCGCAAAGCGGCGTGCTCACCCGTTATTTTTCACTCAAGCAACGATTGAAGAGGAGACTAAGCCCAGCAAATGTAAAGACTAAATGAGAAGTAGAGAGCGTGAGTGACAGAGAGCGCATTTTCTCGTCGACAAAAACGTGAAGTCACGAACGGACAGACAGAAGGACGGACAGACGGACATGGCGAGCACAATAATGCATTTTTTCCATAAATGAAAAGATGCGTGAAAAACACAAAATTTGTCTATTAACAATTCAAGGGGACAGGATCTAAAAGCTGAATTTAAACTGGGCCTCTGAGAAGTTTTGTTCAATAAATGCATCCCAATTGTAAATTTTCATGTTTTAATGGTGAATATTTTCAATACCAGTTCTTTCTTTCGATACAAAGACATGATCCCTTTTAATATGTCTATCAATGCAGTTGTACACGATGATCATCTGCGTATGTTAGGACGACGTCACGCAATATTTACTCTAGGGTCGCAGAACATAAGGCAGGAGTTGTAGGACTGGGCCTAATTATCAAAACATTGCCTAATTATCAAAGTACACGTAACGACTTACGTGTGGCGTAATCGCTGATATGAAGACGTAACTCTAGCGGTGGTATTATCAAAATATTTGCGCGGGAAGCTACGTACAAGAAGCTGTACGTACATAGCTCTATACATCTGCTCGGAGGTGTCGTAAATGGAGTTACGTACAAGTTTTGAGTGTGCCAATATAAAACTATTGATTTACTTGTAAAACGGTGAATTATTATTGAATTTTTTTCAATAATTCGACGTTGACATAATATGTGACCGTTCAAAACGATGTTTTTGGGTGAAAAAATTAAATTGTGTTAATGCCAGCTAATTTCCTTTCCTTTTGTGCTATAATTGACAAGCAAATGTTGGCAATCTTATCTAAGAGTTTTATGATCATTAACTAAAACAATATCTTCATGACTTTTTGATTCCAAATTAAATTTTGTTTGTCGTAATTGCAAAAAAAAAATGCAATCAAGGCGGTGTCATTGCTATTTGGACAACCTCCTTTCATCCACGCGCACTGCGCACTGAGTCGACAGGAGTAACGATCACTAATTCAAAGCCTCTGATTGATCAGTTAGCCAGATGGTTTTGATAATAGCTTTTCTGATGAGTCTTGCATACGAAAGTTTTGATAATGTCAAAATTAAGGTGTACTTACGTAACACGTATCTTCTTGTATGTACGTATGAAGAGATACGAATTTTTGATAATCCGGCCCCTGGGCAGCTACTATCATGCCCTCCTGATTCGGCTGTGCGCGCTCACGCCGAACAGTGTGACGTTCCTTTATCTGGTACTGACTTTAAGATTTTTGCTTCCACTTCCGGTGTTTTTAATTTGCGTATTTTAGAATTGGTATAAAAAGAGTCCCAGTTTGGATTCAGCTTTAGTTCTTGGCCATCCGAAATTATAAATAGATAAGTTCTGCAATTTTTTTCTTGTGCTATATCTTTTTCTTGTAAATTTGGGTTGTAATTTCGGTTCTTTGAATTTCAATTGTACTAACTAGTGATTTTATTTGCATTCTTTAATCTTCGAAGTGATGATGGAGCTGGTCTCCGGAAGATATATGACGAACTTTTGTGGAATTTTCTCTGCTTCTAAGTTTCTAGTATAATTTGCGATTCAAGCGAATGAGTGACATAAAACTTTAATGTTACCAAATTCATAGCAATCTTTGCCTGTTTTATGCCCAGATTAATCCCTGAGAGAATCTTTATAACATTCGGTGCTTAGGTAACCTAGCAAGAAAATACTGATGCATGTTGACAATATTAAATACAAACACGCACATTGTAGTCTTCAGCGATGAACTGCATGATAAGCTGAAGCATGGGGTGTCCGCGCTTGAAATGGAAGGCTGCGTTGTTGAAACTTTTTATCTCGTCAATCTGAAATATTCAAAGTGCTAATTTAAGGTAAAAAAAGCCAATTTCAAAATTTGTAGGGGATTTTAATTTCTTAAATTTAATTATATTTCATATACCTTATTAAAGTATTAATATATCAATAAAAAAATTTCAATAATATCTCACAAAACATTTACATAAATTAAATTTCAATTTGTGAATATTTAATTAAATAATGTATAAGAAACAGATAGGGTTAGCAATTCAAAAACGTAAAACATGAATTTACATGGAGTGCAATGAAGTTTGTGAGATTCAAGACTGATCTTAAAGCCAAGGTATCCATGTCGGTGTAGAAGCCTCCAGACTTGTACACAACCGCCAGTCGACACATGTTGCTTAGGTTGTTGGGTAGATAATCCACGTCTGCGAATAAAATAAAATAAAACAACATTACTATGAAAATTGACATTATTCCACCAACTCAAACGGGATCAATAGACGGATCAGTTGATTTTCAAGAGGATGTTACAAAAAAGCATATATGTACTTGGTAAAATCTTCTTTGGATACTATATGCGCATTTGGTCATTGAAATGAGCATTCTCTTTCTGAACATTCTGGTAGAAATGATTGGGACACGACACTATATATGTAAACATTCATGACTTAACATCAGGCTGACTCTTGCATCATTTATCGTGTTACGGCTACCCATATTGTATAAATATTAATTATTCAAGCTCCGAGGTTTTCAAATTCAGCTTATTTCATTATTTCATAAAATGTTACAAAATTACAAAACTCTAACCAGACCTTAAATATCCTAGGTCGTCCGCGAATATTTCAACATAAACAATGACATTCCTACACGTTATAGTTAGTATGATGAATGAAGATTTAAACTGAATTTAAAACTGATCAATGAAGATTTAACATGATGAATGAGAAATAAAAAAAACTTGTGTTTTAAATTTTTCATACCATCACTTATTTTGTTGCTCTTATTTAATTTTTGGTGATGTGTTGTTGTCTTTCCATTCAAGGTATTGTATTATAGGTTAGAACTTGATGAATGAATTTTTCTTGATTGTGACACATCACAGTGAAAGAAACGAGAGCCAATATAGAATGGCAGAACAGCGGCCTCAGTCAATCTCTGACAGGATACTTTTCCATCCGCCTCTACCCCGGCCATTGCCATGAGCAAGAAGCTTGAAACAGTGTGGAGCGTTACTTTTCATAAATTGGTGCAAATTCACGGTAGTTAACTTATGCATACTAGTGATTGGTTGGTTGTTTGATGCAAGAAACGTGATTAAACCGACATCTGGAAGATAACCTTTGCTCTGAGGTTGCCTCATATCATTCACATGCCTCCCACCACAGGGCTTGATTCATACCGAAATATACAACCGCCAAAAAAACCCTATTATCCCTATCCCAAATTATTCTCTGTGACGACTCTGGCGAGCTTATTCGGCACCTAAACTGAATCCAAATTTAGAGAGCGAAAATGTTTTAAAATGTAATAAAATACACAAATATACACTACGTGCCTGTATTAATTACAGAACGCCACTCGTGTACATTCATTCGTTCACAATCACCGGAAAAAATCCGTAATGACTTCTTTTATAAAATGTGTTTCCCTATTAAGATATGCTAGGTATAATATAGAGAATATTTTAAAAAATGTCTAAGATAAATCCTTAATACATTTCCCCTGCAATTAGTGAAGGTAAATAACCAGCAAATACATAGCGTACTGTAATCATTTGGGATGAAATAAGAGGCCGAGCAAGAAGTGAACGAGCTAAGCCGTAGAGAAATTACTCTCAACCTCAACCTAAAGATGTTATAAGAGAAGAGGTGTGTTTTTCTTGCTATCTACAATCCTAACTTCAATGGTCCTTTTTGACTGCAGTAATATGAACCATTGTCACCTACTTTGTGTCCTTAATTGTTCTACAATCAGGCATGTTGAAATGGACTCTTCAAATACTTTACTTACCGGTTTCTGAAAATTTAGTAGATGTATAAAGTTGAGCGAAGGGCGTGCCATTAAGGGCCAAGCCCACGTCGAGGTAGGCGAGACGAAGGTTACGGTGGACGGCGGCTACTGCCTTCAGGTCCAACCATGACGACCCCACCAGCGATGGTGATGTCACCAGAAACCAGACAACCGCACTCGGGTTAAGCGAGCACCAACTAAAAAGTTTACTGGGATAATTTTATTTGGTTTTAAAAGTTACGTTGGAAATTTTCATCGTCACATACAGGAAAAATTGACATGTAAAGGAAAAAGTGTCGAGAAACACGAGATAAAAGTTATATAAAACCGAGAACAACAAAGTATCTTCTCTTCTGATGTATGAAAACACAATTAAAATAAAATTTCACGGGAAAAATTTAGACGTGGATATCTAATCAAGTAACGAATTTGATAGCCAGTCTAATTAAAATATTTTTTTTACTTTTCAGATTTTTCAAAATCAATAATATTGGATACTAAAAATCCGTTTGAAACTCTTCATATTTTTGTTTGCACACATTTCTTCACTAAAGAAGAAATGTATGTTATACATAAATTCCGGGTTTTTCATTGTCATCGCTACGAATTTATTTTTTTTAATGAGCTCAATGAATCTAAGAAGCAAAATTCATGGCATTTTTCTATGTAAGTGACGCATGGTTACTTAGCATTAATTGGTTACACTAAATGGGAAAAATGATGACCATGCTGATAACGTGGAAAATAGGGGCGGAAAAATAGCAATTGGTTTACCTGTATATCCAAAAGTTATTTGATAAAAATTGCTAGATTTGATGTTTGAGGTCACGAGCATCTTTAAAAGGCCTACCAAAAAGCTGGAAAACAAGAATACTGTCGATTAATTCATTATTTTCCCAGTTACATTTATAATATCAGCTATCGTCGCATTTTGTTGAATTTTAAAGTAAAAATATCTGTTTCTGTGGTAACGAGTAAAAGTATGAGCTGTATGAAATGAATTTGAAGTTATACTCCTTCCAGCATTTTTTTAATTCATCAACCACGCACGCTGCAAGACAGCATGGTTGAACTATACAGGGTTGACCCACGAGGATTTCCGTCTTTCAGTTCTGCTTTATCGTTCTCGTTACGTCACTGAGATCGAGAAACGTAAACAAAACCGTCATTCCCACGACTGATTGCATGACGGTTTTATCGCATTTCGGTGATTGGTGACGTCACTGATATCAGTGACGTCACAGGCGAACAACAACCCAGTCAGAAATCGCCGTAGTCTGGCAGCCAGCCGCGGGTAAACTTGCCTGCGCCAACGCTCGCCCCAGCGCAACGCCAGGGTGGTCAACAGCGCAGGAATGTCCACAGCAGCGCAATATTGTGGCAGCGCTTCTCGGCCTGGAAAGGGCCTGCTGCCGCAGTCAGTCTGTCCTACCGCGAGCGACCAGGCCGGCAGGCACTGCCAGCTTCCGCGCTATCGCGAAGGTGGTTGCCGCGATTGGCGGGACCGTTGCGCAAAATTCCCGCAGGCCAGAGGTGTCCGAACGTGAATTTCGAGCCAAAAAAAATCCCCACGCCCTCCACTATATATATATATATGACCTTATGACCTTACCTTATGATGACTTTAGGACGTCGTAGTCCAAGGTCACGCTGATGCGCCGCCTTCGTCGTCCTCCGTCTCCGAGTCGTCGTCGGATGTAACGTTGGACGTGTTCCGTCTATTTGCCCTCATTTGGGCCAGCTGATGCAAGACGCTGTTGCTTGTCACTTGCTGAGGGTAGTTTCCCATTACTGGATATCATCGCTAGACTGCTTGGACGCGAGGTGAAGTCGGCCAAAACGGCCTAGATTTGCGCGTCTGCGAACGTCTCTGCGGCGAACGGCCGCAATGGCTGCGAGAATTTCGAACTGGGAAATTACATTCGCAAAAATTAGCTTCTCATGGGTCAACCTTGTACTAATTCAATCATGAAAAGACAGTAGATAAACATGAATTGAGGACAGAGCCGAGATTAATCAGAATTAAATTCATTAAGTACTCCTAACAATCAAGATTTACTCGAGTGGTTTATATGGCTAATGAGCAGTCCGAAAGCGTTTTAAGCTACATTCAAAATAATTGTGAATAACATTGACGCCAGGATTGCGACATTCATGTATTTTTTGGACTTTCAAAGAACTTTATATAATCGGGCAACATGGAGCAGCGCCCCCCCTTTTTTAAATTAAATTCTTGATGAAGTATTAATTGACACGAGGTGGTTCTTTGTTTTGTTTAAAGGTACATCTAATGAGGAATGTATGATGTAAATTAGACGCCTATAAAGTTATTAAATTCTTAATGAAACACAATTTTGTAAAAAGTGCCAGAAGTGCCAAGTGCCCATTGCCCCACCTCTGGGGCAATGGGCCCATGGGCTTGGGGCAAGGTGCCCAACCTTGGTCCCTGTACCACAATTATTGGATATTTTTCGTTTAAAAATGATAAAACACCACTCTACAATTGAAATTAAGAAAAATTTAATAAAAAATATGACATTCATTCATATATTAAGAACTCAAAAAATCATATCCTTAACTTGAAAAAAATATACTCTTCGCTTAAAAAATCTATCACTGACGTGAAGAAAAATATTTCGTTGACATAAAATATAAATCCTTGACTTAAAAATATATCCTTGCGATTAAAAATTCGTCCTTGACATGAAAAAATGTATCCTTGACTAGAAAAAAAAAACATATTTAGTTGATCAGAGAAAAAACTTCGTTCCAGTTTCTTCCATAATCCAGATCTTATGTGCAGAGAATTTGTACCTAATCGTGATTTCAGCCAACACCATAAAAACTCATCAACTTTTGGCTAATTGACTGAAATAAAATTTTGGCAAGGCAAGAGTCAATAACTCGATGAGGGGTCATAAATACGCATAACTAAAAACTAAACCTGTCGCCTTGAGGCGGCAAATAAAAAATCATGCAATATGAAGTGTAATTTTTAATTCAAAAAGCTAGTCATATTTTTGAAAAGGTCATTGAGACAAATCTAATGATGCATAACACAAGACATCACCATGGGCGCTTTGCCCCGTGACATGCGTGGGCCCGTTGCCCCACTAGGTATCATTTCAATTTATATAATAATAATAAATAATAATAGCGGTTTCAGCGTTTATTAGGCCGTAGGCCTGTCGCCGACTCTTAACATCGCAGAACATTCACAGCATTCTGAGGTCTCGAACTCGCAACTCACTGCTACAATTCTGCTTTACTTAACCGCTCGGCCTCCTTGCCGATTCTGACCAGAAACTGGCGCACAGAGCTGGGATCGAACCCGCGCCTCTCTGCTCCAATCTTGGTACTCTGAACTTTAACCACTGGGCCACCCTGCCATCATTTTATGGGCCATCAGTATTTTTTATATCGTGTCAACATTTTATTTTAGAAGCTAATAGTTTAAACTTGATCTCAAAATTATCCCTATAAATATTACTTTCAAAATATAAATCACAGTAATTTCAAAAGCTTCATCTACAGTAATCGAAAACAGTTTTATTTAGCAGCAAAAAAATTTGTATCTGGGCTAAAACAGTTATTCACAAATAACTTAATAACGCAAACACTTAGCAAAACGTAAATCCGTACACTTCATCCCAGTGAAACTGTCGACCGGCGGTAGAGAACAAGGACCAATATCTGCCATACTTAGCGAGAAACCCGCTATGGGCCCATGACCCGCAGTGGGCTCGCTGCCCCATGTTACCCTATATCTTGCCTATCTAACATGGATATGAGAGTGCAAATAGATAATGCTAATAATATTACACCGACTAACCTTTCTATTACACATAGAGCCCTTCGAGTGATTGTACTTCTCGACGAGGTTTCCATTAGGTAGATATGGTACGCACCTGCTTCCGGCTCTAAGTCTCTGTAAATCCAATTTAGAGTAAGATACTATACGAAAATCAATGATGATTTTTTTTGGGAACCAATTGCTGAAAAATGTGGTTGCGTTTCCATAATTGGTCGAATGATTCAAAATATTGAATCTGAAAATGTTTTGCTTGAGTATTAATAATCAGTATTATGACACACAATAATTATCATATTCAATAATTTGCATTCATAATTAAATTACTTATAATATGACTGAATATGGTGTATGTTTTTGTTGATGAGTATTTATTACCAATATATTATATCAAAAAGATGCGTGAAATTCATGAATATTATATGAATATTATATTATATACTATATTATACTATAATATTATATGAATATTATATTATAAGATGCGTGCATATCTAGATGGTACTCGATATGTGCACCACACGTTTCAAATTACACGTCAGATGCTGGTATTGGACTTTCAAAGAAAGTCCAATGCTGGTATTGGACTTTCACACAAAATTATTGTATATTTGTAGCGAAGGACCCGAAATAATTTTTTTTCATTCGAAACCAATACCGTGATTTAAAAATTAATAAAGCGTGCATTAGCTGCATCCTTGTCCGACAACAATATATTTCAGCACAGGAGATAAAACTGTATCAACCGAGCTTTACATTGGGGAACGTCCATGGTGAAGAAATCAAATGATTTTGTGTTCATTAAAATAAAACCGAGAATTTTCTAGCACAATTTTGAAAATTTAAAGTTATTCAAAGTGTTTTTGAAGGATTTTGATTGAACATCTATCGCTTAAAGTAGTTGTTTTGCAAGTTTGTGAAGAGAGTTCTCGAGTAAGAAAACAGCGTGATAATGAATAGGTTGGGAAAAAGATGCGCCCAATATTTAACAAAGAGGCAGTGGCAACATGCGCAATTGCTTAACATATACCTCTTCGCTAACCTCGTGGTCATTCGTGAAAATAGTACCTGACTTCATGCAGAACAATTTTTAGGATGATTATTTTTCATGGACCATTTTCTAACACTGACACTTAATTGCGCATGGTGTTTATAATGACACTTTCTGGTTAGTCAAGCAAAAAAATTTATATTATTGATTCTTTCATTCATATCCAGTTGATGGTATCGATACAAGTGAGTTAAACGCTTAATGTTTCCTTGTCGCATCATAAATCTCTAAAATGAAGGTTACTTCTATTCCCCTTTTCACATTTACCGATTAATTTTTCTCTATTTTCGTACATTGAGCCCCATCGCCGGAGCGACCTTATATAGCATTCGTAT